TTTTTTTTTTTTTTTTTTTTTTTTTTTTTTTTTTTTTTTTTTTTTTTTTTTTTTTTTTTTTTTTTTTTTTTGGACTTTGGAATAGTTATTAAGTTATAAATAAATAGTTAAAATCTTGCATTTTATTGTCAACCTGAAATGGATTTTTGCATTTTCTTTAAAAATAGGCTGGAAAGCTCACCTAAAGCTCAGCCCTCCCCCCTCTCCCTCGTAAGGCTGTTAGAGACGTGAGATATGATTGATTTTACCCAGCCCGTAAGAAGATATACAATAAAAAATAATTTAAAAAGCTGGTAAAAAGACTGAAATTTCACGCAAAATTTTCACGCATTTTTCGTGAAATTTTAGTGTTGTTACCCGCTTTTTAAATTGTTTTTTATTGCTGTCAGAGGACCCCCCCCCTCCTATCCCCTATAGGAGCCTTGTGTAATTCATGGATGGCTCCTTACACGAACAATATTCTGAGGCTAGATGATAATAGCATGATGCAATTTTAAAATTGAAAAAAAAGTGAATGATGTGCTTAAAAGAACTCACCCGCTCATACTGGTGGAAAGGTGGGAAGGGTGCCGTGCGCGCCGCGGAAGCACTGGATGTACTCGGTCTTTGATATAAGTACGGGTAGTACGTCTGGTACACCACTTCCGGGCAGCTCATTCTTTGATACCGATCAATTTTGACACACACACAAACACATTAAAAACGAAAACGCCACTGGGCGCTGTGCCTTTCCCCGGAGAAAAGGCCAATCGAGGTAATAACTTGAATATCACTCGCGCACTCACATCGCTGAAAAGACTTTTGTACCGAAAAAAGAAATCAGTCGGGAATCGGAGGGAGTATCACTTCAAGAGAAAAAGTGCTTTAAAAGTTCAAAATTGAATAACTTCAGATAAATAGAAAATCACACGTGACGAGGTAGAGAAAACCACACAGTCAATGTTGTTATTGTAAATCACCCAGAAAAACTGCTCTCAGTTATTAAACGCGTTTTGAACTCAAATCCGAAATACAAAATTCTATGAAAAGGTCAAATAAGCCGAAAATTAGACGGAACGATAACAATCAGCTGACAGAGCTCAAAAAATCCAACATATTTTCCCGAACGTGAGCGTTACGGATTCCGAAGTACACAAACTTTTCAAATCCACTTTCTCTGCTTGTGACAACACGGTGTTCTTGGTGAACGGCGAACGAACATTCCAGGCGTTATTTATTTATCAGCTGATAAAAAGAAAACACAATAATTCGGTGAGCTGATGCCGACGGAGCTCAATATGAAGGTAAACACTCGTGGGAAGCGAATCAGTATCCTCTCTGGAAGTGTTTAGAACTTTTTGGACGCACAAAACTTTCAGGCTGATCAACGTCAGAGAATTCCCGAACGGCTCTGAAGGATCGTGGAAAATTATTCACAAAACTGCAAAATACACTGCCGCGAGTAACAAAATTCAGCGTCCGATAATTTTGGTCACAGATAATCAGTGCACTTGACGCCAAAAATACAGTGTCGAAGTTAAGCTGGATTGCGTTATCACAACGAAAAGGGGGGGAGAGGAAAGTATGTACAGAGAAGAAAATAAGGATCACTTGGGTGCCGCGAAAAGTTTGATAAACTATAGGGAATCCTAGAGCCGATAAGAGGCGAAATCACGTGTCGAACGCGCCTCGCCGCCAGATGGAGCGCGATCACATTTCGGAAATGCCTTCGGCGCGAGAGCACTCGAACAATGCGCTTTTTCCCGAAAACGATGAAAAAAAGACGGATTCCGCAAATATCTCGAATTCCGGAGGAATCTCGGGGTCCGCGCGCACGGTGCGGCGATCTGGGGCTGATCGGGACAAGACTGGCCGGCGGAGGCGAGGCGCGGCGCGATCTTCGGCCGAGGCCACGCCCACCTCCCCTACCCCCCCGTCGAGCGCGGGAACCAATCTCCTTCGCGGGATCCGCGGCCAATGGCGTGCCGCCTCGCCACATTCTACGTTAATTGAGCCGCCCTGTCGGCTTCCTTTGAGAGCAGCGCCGCGCCGTGCCGCACCGCGCGCCGGCCAGGCATTATCCAATGGCCTCGCCGCCAAGTCGCCTGGAATTCTATCGCTCGTCAGAAATGGTGGAACATAGATTTTGACAGGAGTCCTCATACCACACGTGTATTTTCCGTGGGGGCCCGTCGTATGTAACGCCCAGAAATCGGATTTTTTGACTTCCCCTCCTCCTGTAGCCCAACTCCGACGTAGTGCGCCCCCCTAAGAACATAACGCAACATTCCATTGCCCAGCTAAATTGGCGTTAACGCACTAGGGGGCTCTGGCCCCCGGCCGCTACGCGGCCCAACCCCCGGTGTGCGTCCCCAAACGCTGCTTCGCGGCCAGCGAAATCGTCGAAATCGCCCGTTGGCGGTTAATGAGCAAATAATTTTAATTCAATAACAAAACATTGTTTCAAAGAAAAATTTCCCGCCAAAATGACTTTTTCCTTACTCTGCGAATTTCGATTCCTTTTTTGGAAGTCGACCTTGACGGGGCTACATATAATTGCTGTCTATGACTAAACAAAGGCCTCTGAAAGCCTAAAACTCTACCTTTGACCTCGCCCCTTCCTCACTCCTGCCCATCGATCGTCTTACTTTCCTTCCATAGAGCCTTAAAAATGATTTTACTAGAATAGAGAGAATTGATAATTACCACTTCGCGTCAGTCTTTCACCTTGAATTTTCAAAAAATCTGATCGATACTAGCTTCAGGCCCGCCACATCCCATCTCGGGCCCTGGTACCAATTTTCTGGCCCGGGCCCCTAGCACAGGGGGGGGGGGGGGGGTCTGGGGGGCCTCCCCCGGGAAATTTTTGAAATTTTAAATCTATTTGGACGCATTATGAAGCTCTTATGATGGAGATTTTCCATCAATTTCTGCAGAATAATAATTACGCCTTTTTGTTTACTTCCAGCACCAAGAACTTTCGAATTGTTGCATTCAAAACATCTATAAATTTTTTTTTGAGGGGGCAGATGATAATTTTCAATTCTATGGGGAGCCGGGCCCCCCTGGACTCCCCTTTCGCACGTCTATGGCAAGGGAGTTAAGCCATTGAAGTCGAGGATGCCCAGAAAGGAGCCTAGCATCCGACAACGGAAGAAAATGAAACACAGTTACTAAAAATATCATTCTACATATACTCAAAATCTTGAAAATTTCTAAAAAAGTAAGAAAAATTTTATAGTGCCCTAGCGTGTTT